ATATATAACAATCTTAGTCGGTGAGAGCATTAAAATTCCGACTTATCTCTTTTTGGAGCACCCTAATATGCATACATGTATCCAAAGAAAGTAATCAAGAAAGGAATTAGCGGTGTAGGATTTTGTAAGTTGTGTAACTCACCTATGTATGTAGGTCTTATAAGCAAGCGTACAATTATTTATCTACCGAAATGATTAATGAGGTTTGTTGTGCCACAAAATTTATCCAGAATATAGAATTACTTTGCTTTCCCTTTTGTTGTTATTTTTGTTTCCTTTTCTTATAATAGGGCGAATCGCATGAAATTTTCTAATAAAATTAAATTATAAGCCTGAGTACAGGTGTTGTTAAATGTATGCAAATGCAAATTGTGATAAAGCTGTTCTTATGTAATCGGCGCGTGCTTCTATAGCTGAGTTAAGAAATGTATGTAATGAAATGAACTAAGATTAATCTTTGGATTACCCAATTTTTTACTGGGAAGCAAATAAGTATACACACATATAAATAAAAAAATGAAAAACAGATATTTGGCGCTCACATTTTAGCTTAGTGTGTGAAGAGCTTCACCTTCAATTTGTAGTGTACATCTTGACGTTATAACAAAAATGGAGGGACCTAAAATTTAACGCCGCCTCTGAATAGTAAATGAGGGAGGTTTTCCCTTGCTTTTCGATAGTTAATAGCGTGAACAGACAGCAACGCTAATCCGGATTAACGGCCCAGGTGATCAAATCAAAATTGTACCATAACAGACGGCTGTACTGCGAATTAAGCGAACCGTGAGGTCGTGGGTTCGAAGTACACTGTCAGCACCTTTTTTTTTGTTAGTTTCTTGAATTACTTATTTCTTATTACTTTTTTATATAATTATAGTTATTGGTTTTATGTAAAATTTAATTAAATTGTATATCTTTACTTCTTTATATATATGAGTTTGTTTGTTTGTTACAGTTCAACTACTTAACCGGTCACCATCAAAATTTGCACAGTGGTGTTATTTAGTCCAAAGTAAAATATAGGATAGCTTTTATCTCGATAAGACAAGGGGTTGGCATCTTACATACAAATGGAAATTTTCATGAAGACTTTTTTTTTTTATATACATACTAGCTGTACCCTGCGCGCGTTGCTACGACACCAACTAAAATAAATATGAGGGAAAGACATTACACAAATAATCAATTCATTTTGAGTCCTTTTATTGATTTTGTTCATTTTGTAAAAATTGTGACATTGCAGCGTTTCGTTTCAATGCGATATTTATTGAAGTGCTGTGGGATACACAATATTTCTTGTTTTTCCATCTGATGCGTAAACGAATAAATCGGAGGGTTTTCCGACGCGTGAGCAGGCCACATAGAGCTGCCCATGTGAGAAGCATGGATTTCCAAATTTAATCCACACACTTGCAACGATTGTGCTTGTGCTTTGTTGATGGTTATTGCGAAAGCGAGTCGCACCGGGAGCTGCAAACGTTTGAATTCGAATGGCATATCTGTCGGGATCATTAAGATGCGTGGCAACAGTACGTCTTCACCTTTGAATTTTCCAGTCAAAATTGTTGCTTCGATAACATTGTTCATCATTTTCTTGACGGAGAGTCTGGTTCCGTTGCAAAGTCGTGGTGGATTTATGTTTCGAAGAAGAATGATGGGTACGCCAATTTTTAATATTAGAACGTGCGGTGGCATGTCTGGCAAATCAAGCGAATTCAAGAATTCGATGTATCCCGTTGTAGTTCTACACGCATGTTGGTTTTCAGTGTCAATTTCGGTATATGACGCCATAAAACTGATGATTTGAGACATGCATTAAGTTCATCAGCGGGTGTTGAACGTGGTATAACCGGAAGTGTTTGTCGAAAATCACCAGACAATAAAAATAGTGCACCACCGAAGATCCGTGTGTTTCCCCTCAAATATCGGAATGTTCGATCAAGCGCTTCCAATGCTTTCTTGTGAGACATTGTACATTCGTCCCATATAATAATTTGACACGCTTGGAGTATTTTGCCCATTCAAAAGTTTTTACTGATGTTGCATGTTGGTGCCTCAGTGTTTTGCAAATTCAACGAAAGTTTCAATGCTGAATGCGCTGTTCGACCACCATCCAAAAGAGTTGCCGCAATTCCAGATGATGCAATGGCCAGTGCAATATTATTTTGTGATCGTATGGCTGCCAAAATGAGTGAAAGAAGAAAAGTCTTGCCTGTACCACCAGGCGCATCTATGAAAAATAGTCCACCGGTTTGTTCTGTGAGTGCACGCATAATTCTGCCATATGCAATGCGTTGTTCTGGAACCAACTGCGGAAGATTTGTTTAAACAAAATCCAGTTCGTCAGAATCAAGGTGTGTTTCTGGTTGCAAATCACGATCGAAAATGTCGTTGCGCTGGTCGGTTCGGAGCAGGCATTCCCAGTAGCACCAGTGCTTTGTTAGCGATTGCCAAACATATGTCTTCAATCAAAACCAATGCCTGATTATACACATTTGGTGTGAATTGAATGTCCAGATTTTGATTCGCAGCGCGCAAACGATGTAGAATATCTTCACTCATGTAGTCCTTGTATTTTTCCCAAAGTTCTTTTGGATTAGATGGGAAGCAGGTTGTCAATATTACGGCAAATAACGTGCGCATTTACTGTGGTCGCACAGTATTCGATGCATCTGCGAGCGCAGTGTCCCAATGTGCATCATTCTCAAGAAGATTTAGCTCCTGGCAAGCTTGGCGATAAGTGGCGCACAGCTGACCGTTGACTGCTCTTAAATCTTGGAAGGATGTCGGTCCACGTACATTGCTTAACAGCAATCGCAGATAGAAGCACTCTGTATTTTTCGGGTGAACAGTTTACAGATGACCCAATGCGTCACAGGAATACAAATTGGGATGTCTTTCAACTGCTTTACCTTGTTTGCGACGTTGAAACTTTTTAGCGGATGCATTCCATGTGTAGAATTTCTGTACCTCAGAATAAAGTAGAGTCTTTGCAAAAATATTATCCTGGCACAGTGAGTAAAATGCAGTTAAAGTTCTTGCCGGGGGAACCAATGCTCTTGCACGTACATTATCTGCTGTGAAGTACACGCGCCAAGTGTACTACTGTTGGATTTCGTTCATGGATTGAAAATGATAAGATGCCCCTACTGCTTCATTGCTGTAGCGCCCAAGTTGGTATTGGTTGATTTCATCGAGCTGTGAGGCCACATTCCCTACTCCGAAGACTGCCATGTCGCTTCCTTTGTTGACATATTTGCAAATGTATTTGATCGACTTCACTGAATTGCAATACTCAACATGAATGTGTGCTTTGAAGGTCTCAAAGAGCAACGGTGAATGTGGCACAACCCAACGATTACCGACTTCAACATCAACGTTTCGTACTTTCAGAACGATGGATTTGCCGCCATCCTCAACAGATCGTCGACGATACAGTGGGTATCCGTCATTGCCAGTGATGGTATAACAAACCAAGTTTCTTGGGTATTGTTTCGTGCATGTCCCAGCAGACATGCATGGAGAATTGTTATTGAATGCGCCACATGGACCATGGATCATATTTTTGGTAACGACGTCGAATAAGTCTAGATCAGTGTCCTTATCTGGTATTTCTGCTGAGATGATTTGGTCAATTTGATCTGGCGTAATTTTGTTGATTAACCAAACCAAAATATGTGCATGTGGCAATCCTCTTTTCTGCCATTCAATGGAATACATCCAGCATCGTGTCTCTCCAAAAATGTAATGCTTGTTAATAAAATCCATCAAAGCTTTCAATTTAGATTTTAGAAATATCTCGACTCCAGCGCTACCTATCGAGTATATTTTCACACAATATATTTATGTTTAGTGGTTTAATAAATGTTTCGAATTTTGATCAAATCGGTATGTAAATACGGATTTTAGAAATATCTCGACTGCTGCGCCACCTATCGAGTCTTTTTTCACATAATATATTTACGTTTAGGTGTTTAATAAGCGTTTCGAATTTTAATCAAATCGGTCTGTAAATACGGATTTTAGAAATATCTCGACGGCAGCGCCACCTATCGACATTAGTTTTGTTCTATAACACTCCCAGTGATTATATGCACCTACCATAAAAATTTCATTAAAATCGGTTGGGTACTTTTGACGCCTATAAAGGACATGCAGACAAACATTCATTTTTATATATATAGAAGATAGGATGTACATATCAACCCTTACTGCAAGACTGTCATAAAAAAAATTTCTTGAGTTATGTGTGAGTTGTGTAAAAATTTCATAGCTGCATCGATTTACAATAGCTTACTAGAAGAAAATGTGTCCGTAAACATTATTTAAAGCCGTTTTTATCGAGTTTTTGATTTTTATTTTTTTTTTATTGTTGTACTCTTGCAGCAAAGGTACGACATGTAAATATGTACATTCAAAACCAAACAAATGTAATTACGAGTGCAAAAGGGAAAACTGCAGTCACATTCCGGTAAAAATAAAAGCAA